GTCTGGATGCCGTTCAGCCAAATGACTATTTCAATATTAGTCTAAATTAAATACTAGAACTCGTGGCCATAAGCGGGAGAACATTTTAAAACAAATTTGAGGAAGCACTTCTTTACACAGCGTGTAGTCAGAGTATGGAATAGTCTTCCTGCTATTGTAGTGGAAGCTAAAACCATGGGTTCCTTTAAATCAGAGCTAGATAAGATTTTAACAACTCTGAGATATTAGCTAAATTCTCCCCAAACGAGCTTGATGGGCCGAATGGCCTCCTCTCGTTTGTAAATTTCTTATGTTCTTATGTTCTTATCTCAAAAGTGCTAATTAGAGTGCTGAAATATTTGAAGTTTCTATATATACATGTAATAAATCTCTGAAATAAATAAATGAAAACAAGGGCACTACAGCTAAAGCAGAGGTCACTGACCTGACGGTTATGCTGAATGTCTAATAAATGCAGCTCAGTGAACAGGGCGCTGGGGGTGGGCTGCAGGCCACTAATGTGGGGGCACAGGGGCCACAGGGGGTACGGGGGTCAGACCCAGTCTGGCACATCCACTTAGGGCCCATTTCCAAACTGCCGGAGGTTTTCGTGCACCTCCTCTATGAGGTGCAGGTTCCTGGGGGGAGGCATCTCGCCTAGGAGGTCCTCTCAGACCTGGTTTACAGTAGCTAGAATATCACCTCTTGGAGCTAACTGAGGTGTTGTTTCTCACTCGCAGAAGTGAGTCTTCTTGGAGATCTGTCATTCTGTCACGTTCGGTGTTCAGCTACTTTAACTGATAAAAACCATTCAAACTTTTTGAGTTTGCATCGCACGAGAAGAATACGCTTATGTGAGCCATGCCTCGCCAAAAAGAGCTTTCAGAGGATCTACGATCAAGAATTCTTGATTTCAGTAAAACTGGAAAGGGTTACAAAGTGATTTCAAAGACTTTAGAAATTCACCAGTCAACAGTTTGGCAAATGATCTACCAAGAAGTGGGTGGCCAGTCAAGATGACCCCAAGAGCACAACGAAGACTCATCAATGAGGCAAAGAAAGAACCCCAAGTGACAGCTAAAGATTTGAAGGCATCATTGGAACTGGCTAACATCTGTGTTCATGAGTGTACTGTACATAACACTGAAGAAGAAGGGTGTCTATGTCTGGACACCACAAAGGAAGCAGTTTTTCAATGTCCTCCAATTTACATGAGCACAGTTCAACCAAGGAGACCTCAATAGATAGTTGACAAGTGTTTATTTGTTGAACAAATTTAAATGAGTATATGAACAGTGATTTGGCAAAGCCCCACTCTTGGTCGTTGGTTCCATCGACTCTGAAGCTGACAGATCTGGCTGGGCGACCAGGCAGGAGGCGAAGGAGCCAACCCCAAAAACACAACAATGTTTAGTTAATTATAACTTGACTAGAGAAATGTGAGGAAATTGACCTTAACCTTGTATAGCTGCTGAAGGACTATAGAAATAACTTTCTGTCAATGTCTTGAGAGCGGTATGGAGCCGCTAATTTAATGCAAGACTGTATGGAGATGCTGAACGATTTTGAGAGTGGTATGGAGCCACTAGTGTAATGAGAAGGCATTATGGAGATGACAAGCGCTTTGCCAGCGGTATGGAGCCGCTAATTTAATGCAAGACTGTATGGAGATGCTGAACGATTTTGAGAGTGGTATGGAGCCACTAGTGTAATGAGAAGGCATTATGGAGATGACAAGCGCTTTGCCAGCGGTATGGAGCCGCTAATTTAATGCAAGACTGTATGGAGATGCTGAACGATTTTGAGAGTGGTATGGAGCCACTAGTGTAATGAGAAGGCATTATGG